ACTAAGGGCAGTTTGGAGTCCAACAACCTAACATGCAGGTTTTTGGAGGGTGGGAGGAAGCCGGAGAACCCGGAGAGAACCCACAGACACAGGAGAACATGCAGAACCACCCAGAAAGGTCCTGGTTCCCCCGGGGACTCCAACCCAGAACCCTCTGGTCCTGGTTCCCCCGGGACTCCAACCCAGAACCCTCTGGTCCTGGTTCCCCCGGGACTCCGACCCAGAACCCTCTGGTCCTGGTTCCCCCGGGACTCCAACCCAGAACCCTCTGGCAGAAAGGTCCTGGTTCTGGTTCTCTCCTGGTTCTCTCCTTTAAGGAGTCTCCAGCTCTTTGGGAATCCTCAGAATTCCCATTTCCTGTCTGTCAGACTGGGTTTTCTTTGGCCTAGATATACAAATTTTCCAACGTATAAAGTGAAATTTGATCAAATATTCGACTCGACACCCAAAATATGACATCGAAGTCATAGAAAATATATATATACATAAAAATTCTATAAAAATAAATAAGATAAGTCAGTTTAAAGTTCAGGTAGTAAAGTCAGAGTAAGTTAGGGTTCATCCTGTATCTCAGTCTCCACCTCTACCTCCAACAAGTGCCAATAAAAACCCTTTTTATTGTTTATTTATCTATAATTTATTTATTTTTCCATCTCTCTTCTAGAAGTCATTTGTTTTCTTGCTATGTGTGATTATCTGCAGTATTTATTAAGGAGTTATCGTAGGTTTTTGGAACCAATTCTACGAATTACAGAGTATTCTGATGGAATATTTGAACCAAAATATGGATATTTGAACATAAAAAAAGGGTCCTGGAACCAGTTAGATTCCTCTGTGGAGGTTCAGCTTTAAAGGGAAACGGGGTCTCGGGGTTCTTTATTTAGCCGCGTCCATTAGCTCCTGCTTAATCAGGGCTTTTCCGTTTCCTCCCCAGAAATAAAATAAAAATAGAACAGAATTTAAACCCGGCGGAAGCACCAGGATGACACACGGGAAACACGTGAGTCCCGTCCCACACCTCGGATCAGTTTTGGGAATTTCAGTCCCAGGGAATTCCCTGCTTTCTCAAACTTCCTTCCCTATCTCTCTGACTGTGACTGGGGTTTTCCTCCAGAGAAGTTATTGCCATGTTGATGATTATTGTAAAATTGTGTCTACTTTGTGAGTCACTTTGGATAAAATCGTCTAAATGCAGAAACAGAAACATAAAAGCGCTCAAATCACCTTTAAAGCCCCAAAAAACAGCTGTAAAAGCCACAAAAAACAGTTTTAAAAGAACTAAAAGGATCCTTAAAAGCCCTAAAAAAACAGGTTTTAAAGCCCAGAAAAACAGCTTTTAAAGCCCCCAAAACATCTTTAAAAACCACAAAAAACAGCTTGTAAAGAACCTAAAAAACAGCTTTAAAAGCCCCAAAAAGATCTTTTAAATCCACAAAAAACAGCTTTTAAAGCCCCCAAAAAACAGCTTTATATGCCCCAAAAAGATCTTTAAAAGCCACAAACATCTTTAAAAG